TGAGACTACTGAACTGAGTTTTATTCTGTATGAACGATTTGTCACGAAGGCTTTGATATTGAAATGAATCTGATTCTGTTTTAATGGTTTGTCATGAAACGTTTTGTTATTAAATTGAATCTAATTTTGCATTGACAATTTGTCATTGAATGTTTTGCAACTGAATCGATTTGATTCTGCATTAAAGGTTTACCATTGAACGTTTTGTTATATGAAACTGTTTATCTGGCATGCTAAAAGTTTTACCCAAGGGCTATCCATATTTACTTACTGAGTTATCTCATAGTTTTCCCTTGTCCACCATTTCAGGAAGCGAAACTGAGGACGGGGAAACCAAGGGGAGTGACGAGTTAGAAGGCTAGCCATTTCGAGATTGATATAGATTTAGAAATAAATCATGCTCTTGCAAGCTAGAGTGTATGTGGAGATTTTATGATATCAGAGCAGATTGTAAAATTTTATCTTGAGATTTTGTGGTATCAGGTTGTGATTTGAATTAGTTCCGAGCCTTGTGCACTTGCGGGATCCGTCTCATGAGTGCACGGCGTCTGTCGCGTCCCCGGATTTAGGTTTTGGGGCGTGACACAACATAAAGGGAAGATGAAGATTTAATGCAAACAAAAGAATCACTACTAGAAAAATAAGTAATTCAAACTAAACATATACGAATTGCAATGCAAATGCTCTAATATTATACAGATTAATATTATACAGATTGAAAACGATTTGAATATTTTTTCTTTAAAAAATAATTATTAAATAACAAAATTTAGGAATAAAATACTATATAAATAAGTTATACAAACCAAAATTGGTCCATATATATTGTTCTACTTATTAAAAGAAGTTGTGACATGTTTTGAGTATTCAGACCGAGTTTGGTCCGAATACTTTTAACATTTTTGGACCAATATGTTCGTAAAATGGCTCTAGTGAATCTCTGATCTAATATGATGTTGGGGCCTACTGATAAGTTTTATACAGACCAATATCAGTTTGTATAAGTCTCCACTGTTGCATATAACCCTTTCTTTTTCCTCGCTCCGCCCACCCCCACTCAAATTTCCTCTAGTCTTTTCCTCTGTTTTTTTCCCCCATTTTTTTTTATCCTTTGCATTGCAAGGCATCTCCTCTACCAATCTTCGACTAGCCATAGAGGTAAGTTGCATTTTCTTGCCAGTCAAAGGCTAGATCTCGATGATTGATTTTTTTTTTTTTTTTTTTTTTTTTTT